AGCACTTCCAAATAGTAAACTTGGTTAAGTGTTTGTCCAGTTGGTACAAATTCATAATGAATAATCCCTCTGATATCAAAAAAAGGTTAGCAACATTATTGCAACGAGTTCGTGAAGTTAATTGTCAGACCTCATATGTCTGCTTATTTAGATCATCTTTGCTTTCTTTCCTCAGTTTTGTACATAGTTTTCCACATAAAAGTCCCACAAGTCTTATCAAAATTACACAAGTTCGTATTTTTATTTTTTGAGCAATTTTAAGTATTATATGTTTACTTCCATTTGCACATGCTAGTAGTATGCAAAAACACAATTGATTCCTGTATATCGAGCTTGCATCCTACAGTCCTATTAAATGCACTGTTCTAGAAGACTTTTTTGTTGATTCTTCAGCTTTTTCTATGTAGGCTATTATATCATCTAAAAAAAGTTTTAGAGCCGGCTGAGTGGCTCAGTTGGTTAAGAGTTGGCTTGGGAGTGCAAGCTCTAAGCAGCAGGGCCGCCAGTTCGGATCCCACATGGGCCAGTGTCACTGCACCCTCTACAGCTAAGATGGTGAACAACAGCTCGACCTGGAGCTGGGCTGTCATGAGTCACCAGCGACAGCATAGGCTGCAGTGGGGCTGCAGTGGGCTGCCGTGAGCCACTGTGAGTAGCTGGCAGCCAGCGTGAATGGCCAACAGCCATTGAGAACTGCTGTGAGCCACCGCAAGTAGCCGTCCAATGGCCGGTGAGTGACTGCCTCAGTTGGGAAGAGCGCAATGATCATAATACCAACATGGGCCAGTGAAGCGGCGTCCTCCACAACTAGACTAAAGAACAAAAGGACAGCAACTTGGCTGTTTCCCTTCTCTGATTCCCCAACGCTGTTCCCCTTCCCCAATTCCCCAGTAAAATCTTTAAATAAATAAATAAATGAATAGTTTTATTTCTTCCTTTTTGATCTGTATGCCTTTAGCATTTCCTTTTCTTATCTTACTGATCTGGCTAGAAATTCCAGTACTATGCTGAACTACAATACTGACAACAAAGATCCCTACTTCATTCTGATCTCAAGGTAAAAATATTATCTTTCACCAGATGGTAGCTGTATGTTTTTTGTAAACACTGTTTATCAAGTTGAGAAAGGTCCCCTCTATCGTTCTTTTTTTTTTTTTTGTAAGGTTTTATTGGGGAATTGGGGGAGGGAACAATGTTGGGGAAAAGGGGAAGGGGAACAGGAAAGTTGCTGTCTTTTTGTTCTCCAGTCTAGTTGTGGAGGACGTCACTTCACTGGCCCATGTTGGCATTGTGATCACTGCGCGCTTCCCAGGTGAGGCAGTCGGTCGCTAGCCATTGGACGGCCGCTCACGGTGTCTCACGGCAGCTCACTTCGGCCGCTCACGCTGGCTGCCGGCCACTCACGGTAGCTCATGGCAGCCCACTGCAGCCTACACCGTCGCCAGCGACTCATGGCAGCCCAGCTCTAGGTCGAGCTGTTGTTCACCATCTTAGCTGTAGAGGGCGCAGCATCACTAGCCCATGTGGGATCTAAACCAGTAGCCCTGCT